CCCTTGTGCCATTGTTTACTAAGCTTTATAGTGTTAATACCATGGATTCGTTTAAGAGCATGCTAGTGTTCAGAGTGACTCATCAATTTATGCATATTTCAGAGAAAATTCTAAATCCTGACACGACGAAACGTGAAAGTACGCCGATTGTAGTCTGTCCTGACGGGAAATGTTCAAATTTAACTAGTTAAATTTTAAACACACGATGTAAAGGAAAAAACGCTACAGTAACCATTCTTAGTTGCTTGCCCGTGGTATTACCTTCGAGAATGAACAAAATATATCCGTTAGTGGTCTAAATCCAAACCCAGCACCAAGCTTTTGAAATTCCGGCGAAACTGAAGCAAAAACAGTGAAGTGCGCCGCCACGCGATTGTTTGCTGTTGTCGTTGGTGGCGCATACTGAATGAATTTCTGGTTTAGGAGTGGACCATTAAAAACTTTGGCAGGGTGATGGCAAAGCAATATTTTTGCCACCTAAACGTGCCATTCGAGCAATGGGTCAGTGTAAGGCAACGATAACCATAGAGCTTGTAATACATATTGCTATTAACCGATAGAAAATGTTATTTCTCAGGATGCAATAAGAATACTATTAGTCAAACAAGTAATCTTGTGGATGAAACAAGAGTTTGAATACTAATAGTGATATAAATAAAAATGTAAATAAACCAAATCCTCACTGCAGGGCTGACAGCTGCTGTTTGATAGCCCACAAGATGCAACAGATGCTGCGAGTCTGATGTTCAAAAGATGACGAACTCCAGGGTACAACAATACAATTCATTTATTTCAAAATTCAAGTGGATTCATGACTGGTTTGTTGTTCTTACATCCCCACACCAAGAAAAGCACAAATGTCAAAGTTCACAAAAAAATAATTTAAATACACTGTAGTAACCAACAAATTATTTTATTTTTTTGTTAAAGAAGTTGAAACCACCATTCATACCAGGGAAGAAGAAAGTTACGTAAATTAGCAATACAATGAAGCACTAATCTCTGACCTATGAACTTGACCAATAATGTAAGTATTGCCTTCTGACCCCTATGAGGCAACTAACCAGGTGTCAGTATTGGAGCATCTACAATGGCGATGACCTCAGTTCAACTTTTACAAAGTTTACAATCATCCACCTCAGTGAATATAGTTCTTTTCAGACAAAATCAAATGAATACTATTCCTAAATTCTGAAGGGAAAAAAAAAAACACTTATGAGGAAAATGAGACAGCAAACACTGATATAGTCTTCGTTTTCTCAAAATTGGTATTAAAATTCCTTTTTTTTTATCAAAATGGCACTTGGTGTGAGGACAGCTTTTTTTTTTGCATTTTCATTATAAACTCAAAACAAATGTTTAATCATGATAGAATAGAAAGTGAAATGACACAATAGTATATTTTAAGACTTGTACATTCGTAAAAACAAACATATTGCCAAGTCTTAAATGAGAGATGAAGTTGCATCTTGTAAATAAAGTGAGATCGTTAATAATACAATTTTGTTTTGTTTTTTAAATAAAAATCAACCATAAACATTTATAAAGTGCCTAGATCCAAAACTTGGTTCTGTTCAAAGGTACTGAGGGAGCTATTCCATGCTGCAGGCTTTGTTAATGAAGTTTGTTAATCCAACTTACAAGAGAAATTCATGTGGCAATCTCGTTCCATTTGAATTCCACCTGCATCAGATTTAGACTTGCCGGAATCAATTGCACTACACATGCCGAGCATTGGACGTTTTGAAATAAATTTAAAATATCTTCCTCTTTAACTGTGCACATTTAAAGCGTGATGGTCGTCGTGCAGCACATGTTTGAATTTCATGTAAACAAATAATGTATTTTACACATGTTATATACGTCAGTACGAGTCCCATATCAGGACGTGGGCGTGGCACAACGACTGTCGCCCTTTAAGGCAAAAAATACAATATTTCATGTATGTTTACAAAATAAAATAAAGTGATTCACCTTGCTCGACATACAAGGAAGTTTCTTTCACAAACTTTCCAAAAAAATGAAAAATCAAATTCTTGTATGAAGTTCTTCTTTGGTGTCTTTATTAGAAACATCTGGTACTTTATTTTAGCTGGAATTAATTATATAGATTAGTAAATTCTTAAATTTTTTTTCAATTTTCTTTGCAGAAATTATGTAGACATTTATATGCAAGATGTACCATAATATACAATTCATGATTACAAATAATTCAGTTACATCCACAATATGCAATCTGTTTTTCAATATTTTTTTAAATTGTTAATTCACAAGTCTTATGATAAACCCTAAATATAAACAGTCAACTTCAAATACCATCCTTAAAATAGTTCCATTTATAGTCTGCTCTTTTCCACATGAAATATTCAAAAATTTT